TTTGGCAATTTGTGCTTATCGCTCAACTTTATCTGCTTATCCCTATATAATTTATCAAATATAAGGTCAGCTTTGGTCACGTCGAACGAGAACGTTCTAGCCTTTATGTTTCCATCTTTTATGGGCTCATCTTTGCCCGATGGTCTAGGCTTGGCCATTATGGGACAAGTATATGTATCCCCTTTGACCAATTCGGTCAAACACATTTCGGCCTGATCGTATGATTCATCGTCGATGGTATGAACGTCAAAATTTGGGTCTTTGTAATAAGTCCCTTTACTAGAATTTTTCATTTGTTCTTCCTCTCTTATCAGTCGCTCATACCTAATCATATTCGCACTCAACTGGAAAAGGTCAGGAAATTCCTTGTCCTGAAATTTCTTTTTTAAATCAAAGCTCAAGTAGCCCTGAGCGATTTTAACAAATTCTTTTTCAGGCAGAGGTACAAAACACTTGCTTCTTGCTGTCTTGAACCTTTGGAGAAAACTTTCTACCCATTCATTTGGCATTTGACGTAGATTCGCCAAATCAGCCAAAGTGACTTCAGACTCAGTTTTATAAAACTGAGCGTGAAACAACTGTTCCAATTGTTGCCATGTTTGAACAGAGTTCGCTGGCAAGTTGATGAACCAGGAGAAAACTACTCCTGTTAACGAACTAGGAAAAAGCCTCATTTTATGGTAATCGATTACATCACCACTTTACAATGTGAATCGCCTTATGTGTTCTAGAGTAGACACTTCTCCTAAACCGGTAAACAGTGAGAGTTCTGGCATTTTGTACCCTCTAGGCCATGGATATGCTTGGTCTACCCAATCAGGATATGGTTTTGTGTACGTCGGCCTAATGACGGGACGCACCCCAAAAGCCATCTGATCCTGTACGATTTCCATAATCTGGTTCCTCAACATGACGTTGGGGTCATATGGAATTCCTACAGGTTGGTTAACCGGTTGATTTGCATGAGGCCTGATATTTGGTCCTTGATTGGCAACAAAATTACCATGATTAGGGTCATTACCATTAGCCTGAACATCTATTCCCTCATTAACACGTGGAATATTCTGTCCATTGTTCAGGACATTATCTCTTATGTTTGGATTACCCCCCAAGTTAGGCATACTACTACCATTGTTCTGATTTGGCACTGTAGTACCCCCTTGGTTTGAAGTAGAGGGACCAGAAAGCGGTTCTACCCCTTGATTCGGATTTAGGACCGAGGGATTATGTCCCACAATTGTCCTAGTTTAAAAGTGGTTTGTAAGAGGTATAGCCGGTTGACATATTTGGCCTACTAACTTATTCATTGTTTCGTTCAACGTCTTTAATTGTTTGGCCATGTTGTCATAGTGTACATTCTCATTTTGTGTAAATCTTTCCATATTATGAATATTTCGAAGATTTACCTGTTCAACGATGTCTTGCGTGAGTTCTCCAAGTAATGCACACATGGTTCGAGAACTCAACTCCGTCATTGGTTCGTAACGACTGTTACTGCTCTGATTCTGTCCATCTGTTCGTGGAGAGGCATGCTGTTCCTCATATCGCTCGATCACAGACTGGATTCCTCCCTAACTTGCTGCTTCCTTATCGGATCTCTGAGGCATATTGTTTCACCTTTTGTACTTTCAACACCTAACACCACAGTCCCACCGGGCGTGCCAAATTGTTTCGCGCGGGTTAGTCGCTAACAATTAAAAAGGATCAGACGATTGTGTAAGGGACAAACCTCTTGAGACAAAGTCCCAAAAAGGGGTGTTCTTTTATTGGCGATGACTTTACAATTGGAAATGAAAAACAACGTGCCTCCAAGGGGCGCAAACATACGAGTTACTGAAAGAAAAGTGTTTAAGTCTAAGCTAAGGAAATGAAAATTACATGTTCTCTATTCGAGAGTTTTTGATTCGGTCCTTTGCTCTATGTTTTTTCTCCCTTTTATACTTCATGGACAATCTCTTTGTGATCAACCGCCTAAAAACTACTTGATCGTCATATAACTGCTCACTTTCCTCGTAATGGCCAACTTGTCATGAAAACTGCCTTCTTTTAACTGCTGCCATTACTCTTCGTCGTTCAACCGCTTTTGATTGAATTCCTTGAATCGTGGAACGTGATAGGGCTGCTTTAACAATTGCTTTGATAACTGCACTTCTTGATAACCACAACGCTTTATGTTTGTTAAAACCTTGGGCGACTTGAAGGTTTGGGCGAGAATAGAGTCACAGCTCTGAGCGACTGTATGGCATTCCATTCACTCAGATTCTGGGCGACTTGTAAACTTGGGCGATGGCGTAACCGCGTTTTTGGGCCTCTCTATTTGGGCCTTCGTCTTGATTTGTTTGATTGTGCTTCATTCTTTGGGCTATCTGATTTGGGGATCCTCCAATTGGACTTCACTCCTTGGACTGTTCGATTTGGGCTAAATTTTTATGTGTCAACAAATTATTTGTTTTCCACGGAACCGGCTTTGAAGGTTCATCATGCTCCGACGAGAGAAGAGAAAGAAACTCTAATTTTAAGAATGCCAAGGAAGAAAGGACATGTTCTATGAAGAAGAAAACACTGAAAGCATAATCAAAGTTCAAGCTTTCTTTCAAGAAGAAGAGCAACAGAAGAAAGAGTGATGGTCGAGTTAGGTCTGAGAGCAATTTGTAAAAGAACCATCAAAGTTGAGTTACTTGAGAAGCACAATACTAATGCAAAGATTAAGGACAAATTCCTTGCCATGTATTTTTTGTCAAATTCTTGTTAGTTGACAATGTGACTGAAAAGTAGGGGTGGGCGTGGGTCGGTTCGGTTCGGTTCTCTTTAGAACCGAACCGAATCAAACTTTTCGGGTATCTAGTAAATGGAACCGTCGGGTCCAAATATAATTATGGAACCGTTCGGGTTCGGTTCCATTCGATTCGGTTCGGATCGGTTCGGTTCCGTTCGGTTCTGTACTATAATTAAATTTTTTAACATTTATAACAACGTTATATAAATATGACTAATGATACATTCAATAGTTTTGGAATGTCAGAGATTAGTAAACTACCTTGTTCAAATGGTCGCTACGATCAAAGCTTCAGTCGGGGAAAGTCACGGCTTCGATCGGAGGTCAGAGTGTCGGCCGACGATTGTATAGGTTTTGGAATATTAGATAGGCTGCGAGAGTGAGTGCGAGAATCGAGACAACGTTATGTACTTTATTGTAGGTGTTTAGGGTTATTTAGTGGATTTGATCTTGTTTGGCTAAGAAATGAAACAATAAAATGGGTAATTGGGTCAAAAATTAAAAAATTAGAAATGAAACAAATTATTGGGCCAAAAATTTGGATTTAGAAATCATTAAATTGTTAATTTGTTTAGAAAAAATTAAAATGAAAATAATTTGATTTACTCAATATAAAAAAAATTAGAAAGATTCGGTTCTTATTCGGTTCTTCGGTTCTTGATCTAGAACCGAACCGTACCCGTCGGTTCTCAATTCAGATACCCGTTCGGGTATTTAATTTGACAAGAACCGTCGGGTTCGGATCGGTTCGGTTCGGGTTCGGTTCGATCGGTTCGGTTCGGGAGATTTGCCCAGCCCTACTGAAAAGTGACATGTTGTGTGACTTTTTTTTTTTTTTTTTTTTAATTTCTGTCACTTTTTTTCCAGTGTCTCACTTTTTAAAAATTTTTTGTCACTTTTTTTGAATTTTCTTCACTTTTTATTTTTATTTTCTGCCACCTTTTTTTTTATATTGTTTGTTCTTTTTTGAGTAACAAACATTGCTTTTTAATATTTAAAAAAGGGACATTGTACGTCATTTTTTAATAAAAAAGTTATACTAAACTTTAAAAAATGACATTTAGTATCTAGTAGGTAGATTTGATTAATACTTGACCATTTTCTCAAGTGAGTAGACAGCGTCACTTTTTGGGTTGTCGTCATTTTATATTTTTGTGAATTTCTATCAAATTTTTCATTTTTCCTTACTTTTTTTTATTGTTTGTTACTTTAAATTTTTCATTGAATTTGTCACTTTTTTGAACACGAAACATCAATTTTTAATTTGTACATCACTCTTTTACTAAAAAAGTGACACTTAATTTTATGATGTACTTTTTACTTCGAAAATATTTTTCATATGATTTTTCAAAAGACATCTAATTTTAAGAATATTTTTATAAGTCCATTTATAATTATATTAGTTATTTAGACCTTTCACTTCAATTGACCTTAAAGTTACAAACTTTATGTAGTAAAAAAAAAAAATTAAAAAATATTAATAATGCTAGCCCATGCACGTCTATGCAAGCCTAAAGTGGTCAAAAGAAGCTTTAACCACTAAATTAACACATGGTCCTGGGTGTGACGAGACGTCTAAGCGTCACCAAGGCACACTATTTAAAACATTCTTTAAAACCACTATTGCATCTTAAATTTTATTTATTTTTTTTTCTATTCACTTTAACACAATCAGTTTATTGATTATAAAATGTTTCCTGTTTATTAACCGGAAAAGTAATTAGTTACGTTTGTTTAAATTTATGAAACTAAAAGTTGAAAGGGAGATATAGCATAAAACTGTTCATAAAAAAGAACTTTTACTGCGCAGAATCTTGTTTCCAGAGTTTCCAATTGATTATTGTAGTGTTGTTTGGCATCCGCAACACGGGTGAACTGGTGAACATGAATGTATAAATCGAAGAACAATGATACCACCACAAGTGACCATGATGCCATCAAAATAGTGTAAATTTGACCCTTCAAATTACTTCGTTTTGCACTTGAAATGATTGCATAAAATAAATCACAAATTTCAATGATATACATACATATTGAATTATTCAGAGCATATTTGAATTTATTGATCAATGACATCTAAAATTATATATTGAACAAAAACGTGGAAAAAACAAAACATATTTTTTTTTAAAAAAAAAAAATAATAATGAAGAAAAATGTGTGTGTGTGTGTGTGTCAAATTTTTAAGATGTTCTCATTAAAATCTTCCAAGATAACAAGCAAATGAAGTGCAGAAAGGAGGGATATTTTCCATATTAGATAAATCTGGGTAAAGCTACACAAAATTAGTAAATCATTTGAGACATTGCTGTACGTAAGAGGGAATAATATTGACATCCCTGAATACTAACCTAACGTCAAGTCATCTATGAACATGAGAAGACATAGAAAGAACCAGGCATCAGTTACCTGTCTCGGAAAAGTGGTGCTCCTCAACTTTATCAAAAGCGATTACATGCCTTCAGTACGTTCGCACACTTTTAACGTGTTTTGAAAGCACTGATGCTCTAAAAAAGAAATGGACCACGCAGAATCCTATCACTATTTCTCAACGGTCCAGTTTTCCATTTGAAGACCTTTTCTCCAATAGTCTCACCCTGTCGAGCAATTCTTGGATGGTATTTGATGCCTCCTGTATGAAAGGTGAATAAACATTAGGTAATTTAGACGTCAGAATATGCATTCAAAATTTGCAAGAATAAATAGAATCATAAATGGGAAGGAAAACAAACCTTCAATTTCTTTCTCAAATTTTCTTCCTCGGTATTTCGACGCTCTCGTTCTTCTGAGAATATATCAATAAAACTATCTTGTTCTTTGACCAGTTCCTGAATTTTTTGATTTGCCTCGTGTAGCTGATCAAATGGAAACAGTATATCACTTGCCAAGAAACCAGCCAAAAAAATATCTCGACTTTTCTATTCCATATTTCATTTTCCCCGCA